CGGCGAATTTGAACTGCTGACCTTTTGGTTAGCAGCCAGTGCTTAACCACTATACCACCAGGGCTCCACAGGCTTAATTGTGTTTACTTACTGATCTGTAGTGCACAACTTCACCACACGATGTGGTGATAAACAGGTGAGATTGTGCACTATAGATTAGCAAGTAAGCACAAATAAGCCCGTGCGTGCCTTGCTTACTGGGTAATCCGTCCATGGGTGGAAATGAAGGCACATGGAGGGGAAGTGAATGGTCCATGGCCATGCAGGAAATGGCAGGTTTTCTGGCTCTAAATCCAGTTTCCCCCAGCTCAGCCCCATGCTCATGAGATGAAGTAATGCTTCCCAAATGCTTCTACTGAAAGATCCACAAGGTAAAAGAGGAACGAATGCCTAACAGTCTATGGACATGGCCCAAAGTGCCTGCTGCAAAGACTAAACTCTAAAGATCTGATACTTTTCTGAACAATTCATATGATTCATATGATTTTGCATCCTATTTCCCAATATATTCAAGCTTAATATAAAGTTTATGTTTTAGGAACATACTTAGCATAGCACAGCATAGAGCAGAATGGATGCTTCAGGAAGAGAAGATGTGCTTATGCTGAGCCTGGGGGTTCCCCAAGCACACCATCACTTTTCCTAGGGAGCCAACAGTGGATTCTCAATTTGAAAAGCACACAATGTTAAAGCACTTGGCAGAGTGTCCAAGGCAACACAGCTGTAAGAAATTCTAACTATAATCTCCAGAAATCCTGGCATCACAAATGTAGCAGTTCTCTCACCGCTGGCCACACCACGGCTCCATAACTCTCTATTGATTCTTGAAGGACAATCTTCTTGCCTGCATACAGATAATTCTCTTGAGTGTAACTGGCATAATCTGTAGGAACAAATTTCTGGAGACTTTGAAGAGATGGTTCTATCTTGTTAGAATCTGTGCAGCAGAAAATAAAATGGGTTTTATTATTAATCCAGTGCAAATATACACTTGGTGTAATTGTTCAAATGGGTATAGATTAAGCAATCTTTCCATAAACAGACTGGGCAAAGCTTTCAATGACAATGGCTCCAACTAGCACAAAACAGAACTATATGGATTGACAGAGGCATGACATTCAGACACAACATTTGTATAATACCACAAAGGGCTAAAGGATGCCCTGGGTCCTTTTCTCTATTTAGTGGAGGACAAAAGAGGTGTGGATCCAGTGGGATCTAATCCCCACCCTATGTTTTGATGATGGGAGAAAGCTAGATTACCAGCAAAATGACACAAGTGAGCTATCTGGATAAGGAGGAACTAACATGACCTGATATTTTTAGGTCTTGAAGTGAAGTAACACGTTGGCTGGAGCATGATCCTTAAATCCTTCCTACAACAGCTCCTCAGAAGGTTCAGACTACACAAAGAAGAGCCAGCTCCATAGCCCTGGGCGAGGTTGTTAGATGAGCTCTGGCTATTAAGTTACTATTACTTTAAATACTCCTTTAAACTCATGACCCACTATAGCAGCTCTCATATATCATACAAAATGAGAGGAAAAGAGCATCTAATTAGGGCATGACATGATGCAATCAAAAGGTTGCAATCTTTCCAGAGTGTTTAAGAATAAAAAGGGTAGTGAGTCACAACGCCAGGAATGCGGATGCTGGGCGCCTGTACACTTGGGGGCTGTCAGTAGCAGAGGGAAAGATGTTGGGATCAGCAGTGAGAAAAGTCTGGGGGGAGGAAAAGAAGGTCAGTTGTATTTGCATGAAATCTGCCTTTCTTGCTTGGGATATCCCTGGGAAATTTTTAACCGCAAATGGAATTCAGGCTTGTGAAATTAGTTGGAAGAGGTGGTCAGTTAGCATTTGCAATACTCTAATCAGAAATACACAGAGGGATAGGCGGTCAGGTAGTGGGCCTTTGAAAAGCCTAATATTAGGAGTCTGCTCTTCAGACACACGTTATTTCGAGAATCACTAATTTCGTTATGCACTGAAACAGTGCTATACTACTGGTTCACAAACCATTCGTCACCGGTTCACAAGTCGATACCGAAATTGAGAGTGAAAGTTTAGAAACGTTTCTGACATTTTGTCAATGTCTGTTCAATCTTATTACAAAAATCTGAGGACTTGAATTTTGTACGTCTTTGTACACATAGATAGGTAGAGAGAGAGAGAGAGAGAGAAAGAGGGATGGATGGATGGAGATGGAGATAGATACTTTGAACTGGAAATTAATTTTTGTTGTATTTTACAAAAATGTCAGTATGTGATAGATTGTGGGGTTGGGAAGAAAGAGCAAACAACTGGTCCTTTACGACAGTGTGACAGAAGAACTGCTCTCTAGCACAGTGGGTGCCTGGGCCTCTTGAGAGTGTTGGTCTTGGCCATGGGTCCCAATTTAGCATGTTCCACCACATGAAGAACAGTCTTCTGCCCTGACCAAAAGGTGAGCTTCCAGAGACCGGGAACTTCACTGAGCTTGCAAGAACTTGCTAATAAAGAGCCAATTCAGTCCCTAGACTGTCTCCCTTACTGTCACATGTCCTGGTAGGGGGTTGTAGGGAGGCTGCAGGGTAAAGAAGGAGACCACCCATAACAGTCACCTACCTGTTATTATGGGAGACTACTGACATCTAACAAAATGAACCCAATGTTTATGAATGACCAAAGGAGCCCTAGTTTCTACCATAAGGTTGAGAGGCTCTCTGAATTGTTTCAGAGACAATAAGGAGGCAGAGGAATAGGCAGTGATGTACTGATAAGTGTTTAACAACCAGTTGGGCGGGGGGAAGAAGGGCTGATTTGTAGGGTTTGCTGATTCCCATGGTGTAAATACTCCCCACCATGGCTGTGCAGTAGCACACCGTTATATAGTATTTGTACCATACAGATATAATTGACATAACCTCAAGAGCACACATAATAGAAAAATGTAACAAAATAATTAGTGAGGAGTTCTGAGTATTTATTGCTATAACTTTTTAGTATACCTCTGTCTTTAATTGAATTTATTTAATAGAAACTTTATATAATTTAAATTTTAATAATGGCCATGTTTAATAATCAGCTTGCAAAGCTCCTGAAATTGAGGAGTCGGTATAAGCCAGCTCCAGCACACCACTCAGAACAGCAGGACCATCAGGGACTCATGTAAGCCCCAGAGGCTTCTCTTCCCCACCCCCTGCCACCCAGGCTGGGCCGTCTACCTTTATTCCCACTTGTCACCATTTGGGGGCTTATTCTCTTTTCAAGGATATAGGAAAAATTAGTGGAATGACATCTAATGACTCATCTTTTCATAGATAAATCAACTAACCAAGTTGTCAGTTTAAGTTCCCTATCTTGTCCAGAAACACGGGCATTTAAATATTCTCCCACAATACACTTCTACATTCTACAAAGACAATCATTGCATATTAAATATTTGCAATTTATTTTATCTCCGCCAGCCTGATAGTTTTAAAGAGACCAGATTTTCGAGATAAGGTTGAGTTGCATTTTTATATGAACAGTTTAGTAAAAAAAAAATAACTTCTCATTTAGTAGAGCTGCGATATAATCTCACCACTTCAAATGATTGTAAACATTTTCAGTGATGTATTTTGGCTTTCATTACATCATTTCTTATTATTGATTCCCTACTGAGTCCTTGCCTAGAAACGCAACCCTAAACCATTATATTGTCCTAATGGGAAAACACATTTTGATTTACAATGATCCACCGTTTATGTCGCAGCTGCCAGGAATATATTTGGGCTAAAAGCAGAAACCTAATTTAGATTTAGTTTCTTTAAAAAAAAAAAAAGTTCTTATTACAAAAATATAACAGCCTCAGATTTTTACACAAGATAAAACAAATTTGTGGACATTGACAAGTAAATAGTGAAAAAACAAATTAATACTATATTTATACTTGCATAAAGGCATTTTTCTACTATGCTTCATTTTAGTAAAAATGTAGTGAAAAAGGAAATGGAAACTCGTGTCACTGAAGTTTACTTGAAAATGTCATTGCCAGGAAAACAGTTGAGAAGGTGTTGAAGTGGTGACAAGGAGGTTACCTCCTGGGGGTCCCTCGGTGCCATCTTTCTGGAGAGTCTCCTTCTTCTCTGCCTCTAACCAGCCACCTGGGGTCCTCGGTGCTTCCGTAAAGCATCCGGGCTGCTGCGTGGAGCTCAGACACACGTCCATAGCTGGAGGCTTCTGGAAGGGAAAGAGCTGGAAGGGGCCTGAGATGCTCAGCCCAAGTCAGGTCTGAACCTCCCAGACGGCTCAAGACTATGAGCTTATCGCCTTAGCATGTGCTGACCCGAAAGGAATGCCTGCTTTTCCGCTTAGCTCCCTGGATGAGCGAAGGAGCCACCAAAGGAGCTGCCAGCCTGGTTTTGCGGAGCAAAGTAGAGGAACAGCACTAAACATAAGCGAAACAATTACATGCATGAAGAAATGCAATTATAGTGAGAGAACAGGCAGTATGTTGCTCAGGAGATGGCTGTGAGTTCTTATTTTGCAAAGTTAGTCTCTGCCATCCCTCCTCCCAAGTATTGTAGCACGTCACTAGGTTGATGTGTCTAAGATTTATCTCCTACTGACTTTTGGCACAGAGTCTTAAAAAAACAATCTGCTCAGTGGTACGTAGAATTGAGGCACCTCGTGGATTGTGGAGTTAACGACATCATGGAGGAGAAGCCAGGATTAAGAGCAAATGTAGGGCTCTCCTCTCATCTGAGACTTTATCCCAGGGTAGTAGAAAGAGCTGAGGGCTGACAGCCAGGAGTCTCATTTGGCTTCTGACTCTAACACTTGGCAACTCACTCAATCCCCTCAGCGCCCATTTCCTTACCAGCAAAAAGGGGATAATAATATCTGCCTACTTCACAGGGTGTCAGCAAGAACCAGAAGAGTGGAAATGATTAGCAAGGCTCAGGAAAATGACCCCTGATTCAGAGAAAAAAGAGGCCTTGATTATTTAGATCATTGACTTGCATCAAAAGAATAATACCTGCCATTGCTGGGGGACATAGTGTATTGTTGCCAAACACTGTCTTAAGTGATATAAATGGATTGATTCATTTAATCCTTAAAACAACCCTATGAAGTGGATACTGTTATTACACCTTTTCTCAGATGAGAGAAATTCAGGCACAGTGATTAATAAACCAGCCCGAGATCACGCAGCAGCCAGGACCAGAGCTGAGAGTCAAACCCAGGATGTCCAGCTGCAGAATCCACATTCCTAACCACTACGCAGGATGTGGCTTGACTTGCCTTGGTTCATCCCTGGTGTTCTTTGCTAGTTTGCCCTGAAATTACTCATAATGCTAGTGTATCTAAAGTCCACGTTGTCACAGTGACATTTTCTAGTCTTTTTTACAAAATGAAAATGGTTTTCCTCATCCGTGTTTCCCATCCCTGGTTTACTCTCCACACACAAGAGTCACACCATCATGTTGCTTCAGCCAACTGAGGACAGTAATTGGGCACACCAACCATACCACCTCTAACCTGCTGACCTAAAAACCAACACTACATCCCGCCAATCAGGCATGGGGCTACCCCAGTAAACAAACACAGAACACAAGAAAGAACACCCCTTCCCTCCCATTGTATGGGATCCCGTGCCACACCTGGAGAAGCTATATGCCCATGACATTTCTGTGCAACAGGACTTCAGAGAAATGGGATTGTTTTGAGAGTCATTTGGTGTTTTCATTGGCTCCCGCATCAAATAATCAAATACTTACCCCAACCCTCCAACTCACCAAGCCAGCAAAGAGCTGTCTACAGATTTGCGCTTCGTGGGAGATTTCTTCTCTTGCAGATACTTTCTTGTTCCTTCTCCTCAGCTTTCGTACAGCTCCAGGAAGCTAACGATTCCCCCTAAAACATAGCAGACTGGTTGTTTATGACCACACAGAGTGTCTTCAGGGCGGAAGTCTCAAAGCTATGGTAAGAAGCCTGAGTTTGAATCTTGGCTCTGCCACGTGCAATCCATATTGAAAATGTAGATAATGGTGACACCTACCTCAACTGGTGGTTGTGGGAATCAATAGAGGTAATCTATGCAAAGCCCGTTGCATAGAATAATATCAACTGTTACGACCATCTCCAAAGCTATAAACAAGCAATCTAACACCATATGCAAAATTCCCATCCATCACCATGGAACTCTGCACATTAAATTAAAGAATTTTTGTCTTCATGTGAATGCAAGAAAAAAGACAGCTATTTTCAGACAAATACCATTGAGAAATAACAGAACTCCCTCCCACCATGCTGCAGTTCTCAGAAGGAATTAATTTTCTCTTCAGACATTGAAAAGCAATCAAGAAAATAACAACTGCAATCCATCTAGTGTTCATTGTTAGCTCCACACATCATATTATACTTAAAATACATTTCACATTTTAATAAAAGTTTTATTTAATATTTAATATTTAATAAATACTTTGATTGATTTTTTTCAATGACTCCTTGTTAGTACCCACCCAAAGACTTTTTAAGCTATTAACTTAAACATATCTTTACCTTATGTAGCAAAAGAGATTCAAGGTTTTTGTGCACCCCTTAGTCCTTATGTTTTATATAGATCTGCACCTGAAAGGACTAGCATTTTATGAACAAAAGCCAGCCAGTGGAAGTCCACGTTATTTAGGGTAACATTACCTACCAGTACTCATAGACATGCTACTTTGCTAGAATTCTCTCTCTGTCTCGCTTACACATACGCACAAACACAGAGCCCTTGCAATATGAAATGAAACCACCCTCAAAAGATTCAGAACAATCACTCCAACAGGACAGACAGAGGCTGTCCCCTGGGGTATCCAGCTGCTGCGGTGTTGTTTGAAATGTGGACTTATATTTCAGTTTTAAATGTCTTGGGAGTTGGATAGTTGGGGCTTTGTAAAGACCTGCAAGCTTTTTGCTCAGTAGCTAAATTCCTGAGGCTAAAGGGAAGGGGCATGTCTGCTGTGGACTTGGTCCAGAACCCTGATTCTGGCAGCTGGAAATAACATAAGAGTGTACATAGAGAAGAAAACGCTTTTGCGGGAGGAAAGGAGAATGCCTATCCATGAGAAGGGATGTGAGTCAAAGACTTTAAGTCACATATGGCATACTCGGGAGAGGCAGCTATGAATAGGAAATCAGAAAAACACCTCCAAGAAACAGTTAAGCCATTGTCATTTATTTAGTTGAAATAAGGGACAGTATAAGGAGAAAGAAGAAAACCTGTGCTCACTTAGGAAGCTTAGAGACCCTTAAAATAGAATATAGGTCATGAAAAGTAAAGCTTCAGGCAAATGAGAATTAAATACTCATTCCCATTTATGAGGGACCATGTTTAACCAGGGGACTGAATAAATGGTGATTTAACCTGAACAGATTAAAAAACCCTGTTTATTTTTTAACCCAAGCTTGGTACTCTCTTCTCTGCCAATATGTATATATTTTTAAATTTTTAAGTCAGTTTCTTTTAACTCAGGATCTTTATCTGAATGTGTAGTGATCCAGTAACTAATATGACAAATCTTCTTTTCCCATTCCCTTAAATAAGGTTTTTTCCAACTCTGTCATTGGAATGTTTCCTTATTCTCAAAATGGGTTCAGTTCTATGACTGTGTCCTGCCTTTCTGTAACTCTTTTTCCACGAGATGTTATCATCCCTGTAAGGAATAGCAACAGGACAGTCATCATCACAATTATATAAATAACTTTTTAAAACTGATCACAATGCATATGAATATATATGTAATATATATTATATGTAGTATAATACATAGTATATATACTTATAAACTTTTTATAATACAGAAAAGCACAAAGAAGGACAAAGATTTTAAATCGTCTTTAATTCTGCTATTTGGAGAAATAAGTCTGATGAACATATTTTAAAATATATATCAGCTTCTAGGCTTAAAAAAAAATCTTAAAAAATTACTTTACTGAAAATGAGAGTGGACAGAAGCAAGTACATCTTTGTCTCAGTATGGTATATATCCTGTTCTTTTAACGGTTTCTTTTTAGTACTTTCTTCGAAGACCATCTTTTATGTAGCTGCTTTAAGCAATGAATCAGAGCTCTATTGTTGGAACTGGAATAAATTAGAGCAGAGGTTCCTAAAATCTGGATATAATATTTTATATATATATATATATATATATATATATATATAAACTCTCAGGGCCTAGAAATCCCAGTTTAAAGGTCTGAGAAGGTACCTAGAAGTTTGATTTCTGAAAAAGCAGCAGGATGGGGAATTTCCGGTCGGAGAATGGTTCCCCGAGTGTCTGCAGCGCCTGGCACGTAGTAGGGTGTCAATCTCTGCTGGATTTGCTCCTGAGTGTGAGCCTCTGAGGGCCCGTGCAGCATAGGAAGACTCAGGAGGGCTGGGGGAGGGGCTAGGGGAGTGGCGCAGGGCGGGCGACACATGAGTTATCAGATAGTTGAAGTGCCATCACATGAAGGGGGATTAGGCCTCCTGCATGGCTCTGGAGGGCACAGCGATGAAGTAAGTTACTGGGAAGCAAAGTTGGAAAAGAACTTTCTAACAAGTAGAGCAATGGAACAACTGATCTCAGAAAGCCTAGCATAATGGAAAGTGGGCTGAATTTGGAGTCAGAAGATGCAAGATTGGATTCAAGGTTTATGCAGGGTCAATAAAGAGGCAATATATGTGCTGTCACTGCCCTTCTCCATCAGCATAGACATCTGGTCTACTATTGCACTTTTTCCAAATGAGCTTTTGAGGCCGATGGTTGTCAGCATGGGACAATTTTGCACCTCCCCTCTCCTCAGTGTATATTTGGTAATTTTTGAAGACATTTTTGGTTGTCACTGCTTGGGGAGAGGATGGAATTGGCATCTGGTGAGTAGAGGCAGGGATGCTGCTAGACATCCTACGACAGCCTCTCTCAACAAAGAATTTTTCATCCCAAAATGTCAATAATGTCAAGGTTGAAAAATTCTGTCCTAGGGAATGGATCAGAGTTGTCATGCAGAGTAAACCTAATTATCATCATCGATAAACCAGCTACTAGCTGTGAGATCTTGGCCAAGTTCCCGACCTGTTCAGTCTCAGTCTCCTCATCTGTAAGACATTTTTAGAGTGCCTAATACACACCAGACTAAGATGGGCTAGGAAGAAAGGCCTGGTGATCTACTTCCATGGATCACATGTCCAGTCGGCA